CCTCTCGAAAGAATTTGTGTCCCCACAAAAAATACAGTTATACATAAAAACATTAAAAGTTAACAGCGTTAAGACATGATGGTGAGGTAAATCCTTGGGGTAGAGAAGGGATAGAATGTTCGGTTTTGAAACGAGTTGAGAGGAGCTGCAGCTGTCTAGTAAAAATGAGCCCTCATTTTCGTATCACAGTGGGGGTTTTGACAAACTGCATCGGTAACTCAACACGAATCGGCATGGAAAGGCTAAGGAAGGATGGCGAAACAAGGATACATCTTACCACTTAATCACGTTAGTAATCGGTTAATCGAAAGAACAATATACAAACAAACAAACGACGAAACATAAAATACCGATAGGACCGGCTATAAGCTATATCGTAAAGACATATCCATAGCCAACTCTTTGTTTAATAAAAATTTGAATTTGTGGTTTTGCTGTCGTGGTATCGACCCAATGGTATATCGGCAATCGTGACTCGGAAATGACGCGACGCGTGACGAAATCGGCTCGTTCGTCACCTTTACGTACTATGGTGAGTTTTGTACCGTAATATGCCTCTGTTGGCAGGGACGCTAATTTCAGCTTACCCTATTGGCCACGTTCGAGGTCATACTTTGAAGCGGCTGGGCGTCTCGATCGCCCCTCTCATCGCATAGGCTTACTATACACTTTCGACGCTTGAGTCACCGTACGCCGTTACCATAATTTTCGAATACCACGCTAGCTACAAAAATTCGCGCGCTATTTTACTGTTAATAAATTATTTCCGAATTTGTGGCTATGTATACAGTGTATTTTACGATGTAGCTTACCCTATCGTCGCCGTGTAGATCTATCTCTTCTTCTTCTTCTTCTTCTTCTTTTTCTTCTTCATCTGCTCATCTGCTGTTAGTTTTTCCTTCTCCATCTCCTCCGTCTGCTTCTCCCTCTTCCGCTGGACGATTGGAAGGCCAGGTTCTCTTCTCGTTTCATATTTCGTTCTTCTTATTCTTCTTCTTTTTCTCCTTCTTCTTCTTCTTTTTCTTCTTCAACTGGTGGATTAGCTGGGTAGAGGTAGCGAGTGCAGAACGACCATGATCCTCCATCAATTGTTGTACTGCGAAAGTATGACGACTTCGTGTTCTCGTAGGTCGACAGCGTATAGATGGTGGCAGCGTTGATAGCAGTAGGGAGTAGACGTAGTCGCAGATTCTTGTTTCACTAGTACTTTATTAGTAACTACACATACAAAATATATATATATACATACTACAGCCTATAGGCAACCATGCCTAGGCTCTGA